AAAAAAAAGGTTTATTTAGCTCACAGTTACTGGAGGTTTCAAGACAATGGAGGAGAGGCTGGGGCGCTGTCATGTACAGGATGACCCTCTCCACCTCTGAGAAAACACAGTCTAGCCAGTTTAAAGCAGTCTGAATTACATAGCAAGATCTCGAGATACTGCTGTCCTGAGCTACAGGGTCTGGAAGAGAGGCTGGGGCGCCACCATGTCCAGGATGATCTGCTCCATACCTCCAAAAGAGGTGACCAGGCCTGGGGGTGGGGTACGGAGGCGCGTGCTGTCAGTTTAATGGTTTGTGCCTCTCTGGCCCCGCCCTTCAAGCTCCATCTTGGTCCCTGGCCCCGCCCCTTGAGCCTCATGCTGCTCCTCAAGGGGCTACAGTCCCATCATTTAAATGAGGCTTTGGGGGACAACTAGATACAAACCATAACACAAGCCAAAATACACATCTCCTTTAAATTGTGGGTGTCATAGCCAGGTATGGTGGCACACTCCTGTAATCCCAGGACTTGGGAGGCTGAGGCAGGAGGATTGCTGTGAATTTGAGGCCAATCTGGGCTACATAGTGAGTTCAAGACCAGTCTGAACTACACAATGAAACCCTATCTCAAAAAGCAAATACAAAGTCTCTTGTGACAACCCACAGCAGCTCCCTGAGGGACATCTGCCCTTTGGTACAGAAAAGCACATACCACTTAGACAGGTGAAGAATGGTGCTAAAGTAGATTTCCAACAAGTGCTTTGGGTGATGGAAGAAAGTTTTTGAATGTGAGAGTGTGGAGATAAAATGTAAAATGAAATTTGTTGTCTATTTACCACCAAAGCCAGAAATTGGAAAGTGCCCGGCCCTATATTTGTTCTTTGGCTTAACCACACAGAGCAATAGTTTGTATCAAAATCTGGCTATCACCAAACTGCCTCAGAACATGGCCTTATTGTCATCCCTTCAGATACCATACCTTACGAATGCCATATTAAAGAAGATGATGGCTGAGACTTCAGGACTGGAGAGGGGTTTTATGTGAATGATATAAAGATCCTTGGAGAACTGTAGAATATACTCTTATGTAACAGAAGGGCGTCCTCAACTCATAAATGCCAGTTTTTCAGTGGATCCCCAAATGTTGTCTATTTTTGATCACTCCATAGGAGGCCATGGAGCTGATTTATGCTTTGAAATACCTTGGAAAATACAAATCTGTGACAGCATTTGCTCCAAATTGCAACTCAGTCCTTTGTCCTTTGGACAAAAACCCCAGATATTTTGGAACAGATCAAAGTAAATGGAAGACTTATGATGCAACCTATCTTGTGAAGTCTTATCCAGATTCTCAGTTCGACATACTGATTGATCCAGGAAAATATGACCAGTTCCTTGCAGATGGGCAGCTCCTCCCAGATAACTTCATCGCTGCCTGTACAGAAAAGAAAATCCCTGTTGTTTTAGATTACAAGAGGTTATGATCATAGTTACTACTTCATAGCCACCTTTATGATCACATCAGATGTCATGCAAAATACCTGAATGCATGAAAAATATCAGATGAAAGAATCTCTTCAAGATTATAAAAGTTCAAGAAAAAAGATTGTTAAATATAGGATTGCATAATGCTAAAAGAGTTTTCTCCTACAGTTGAATTATCTTCTGAATGAATACATAAAACTTGCTTCTGATTTTAAAAGTTATTTTACTGGTGTTCACTATAGGAAAACTTCAATATTTAACACCTTGTTTGTTATCATTTGGAAGTCTTTGTTATATAAATCTTAGGTCATAAGGCCAGTGAAATAGCTCAGCAGACTAAGCGCCTGCTTAGGCAAGTTTAGGGGCTGGGGTTCCCTGGCACCACGTGCTGCACCGGCCCCACCTCCAGGTGCACTGAGTGAGGGATTGAGTCCAGGTGTAGTGGCACATGCCTGTAATCTCAGCACTGGGGAGGCTGAAAATAGGAGGATCACTACAAGTTTGAGCTGTATAGCGAGACCCTGCATACACACACACACACACACACACACACACAAAACAAACTTAGGTCATAGCATATGAACATAATTCTATTCAAATCATAGAATACTAACTCTGAACAGAAGATTTAAAGGTTAGTTAGCCTAGACTCACTCATCTTTCTGGGCTTTCAGCCTCTGAAGTCATGGACTGTCAACTTGATTTCCAGGAGACATTTTAATTAGTGTTTGTCAGCTACAGAGCAAGGAAGCAGGCTTAGAAAAGTGACTACCCCATCATTATGCCTGTGGGACAGCTGAGAGTAGAAAAAAGTTTCTAAACTCCAGTCTATTAAATGTTTTGTGTGTGTGCAGTGCTGGGATTACAGGGGTGTGTCATCATGCCCAGTGTGGTGGTCAGCACAGCACGGGGTTCTGGGGCCAACAAGACATGCCATACTGGGGATCAAGCTTGGGCGTTTGTGCTTGCCAGGCAGGTGCTCATACCACCGAACTATCTTCCAAGCCCTTTATATTTTGAGCTGAACAAATCCATGAGCCTTGGTTTTTGGGATAAGTCTCTTATGAATTAAATGTAGTAAGTCATTCATTTATGAACTAGCTCTGTTCCCACAGAACATTCATAAATGGGATCCATTTGTTCAGTCCAACAAGGTGAGTCTTACATACCTTTGACACGAATATCCAATGTAAAGCATAAAAAAACTAACGCACATAAAAATGTTGTAAATTATTTTACTTTGACAGTTACCTTAAAATGGTAAGGTAGACATGTGAGCTAAGCTAGGAATGCTCCTGGTGGGGGCGGTTAGATCACCTGTGAAAAGTCACAGCTCAAATGTTTGTAAGTCAGAGACTTCCTGTCATAAGATTCAATCTGAAATGGCTGAAGAAAACTTATACATTTCATATGTTACTATAAAGAAGTATTTTTTCTCAATCATATGCAGAAATATAACTTGGTGAGCTAACCAAGAAAAGTAATTAGGATTTTTTTTGTGTGTGTGTGTGAATATAAACTATGTTCCTTTATAAACTTAATAGAAAAACTTTGAAACATAAGTTTGCTTTGGTAGCAAAGTTTTTTTCTATTAAAGAGCACAAAGTTTACTCATTTTAAACATTCAATAAGAAATCACACTAAATCACCATCAAAGAAGACAACATTAGATTGTTAAAGTTAGAAAATCAGTGCTATTTTATTATAAATGTAGATAGTACAAAAATTAGCACAATTTAAATATCAGTAATCCAAACTGAATCCTAGAATGAGCTACACACAAAGTAATTCTAGTATTGTGTCCTCTGGTAAGGAATATCAAAATTTGTGAATATTTTGCCTGTTTATGAATACATTTTTTTAACAAGGAGAAACAAAACAAAACATTGTGGGTGTCCGGTATGTTGTTTTGGTTCTGGAAAGTGACTAATACATTGTGCTCAGTATCCATTATCAAGATGTCTAAGGCATGTATTATTCTCTCAGTTTTTATTTCTCCTTTAAATCTCTAATATTGTGATAAAACTCAAAGATGTTACTAATCATGTTAATCAGGGAGTATCTTTAAAACTATTTTTCATGAAGACTGTATGTAATGTGTACAACATGATGTTTGATACTCATATTTGTAATGAATGACTATTTCAAGTCAAACAACAAACATAGCCATCTCCTCACATTTGCCTTTTTAGTATGTGTGGTAGGAATAACTAAAGTCTATGCTTAGCAAATCTCCAATATACAACACAAGGCTGTTAACTGTAGTCACGTTTTATATCAGGAATCTACACTTATTCATTCTTTAAAACTACAACCTTATGCTCTTTGACTTGCCTTTTCCTATTTCCTCCACCTTCCCATCCCTGATAACTATATTGTAACTTTTTAAAGATTTCATGTAAATGAGATCGTGTAGCATTTTTTCTTTCCATATGGCTTATTTCACTTAGTATAACATCACCTGGACTCATCTATAGTATTTCAAAAGACCAGGCCACCTTTCTTAAATGCCTGAGTGATACTCCCATGTATATTGCAATTTATTCATCTGTCAGTGGACACTTATGTTGTGTTCATAGCTCAACTTCTAAGAAGAAGTGTGCAATGAACATGAATTGCAGGTGTCTCTATGATGCTGGTTTCTTTGGGCATACATCAAAGTAATAGGCTTACTGGATCATATGGTGGTTTTATTTTCTATTTTTATTTTTCAGGAGCTTCCATATTGTTTGACATAATGGGTTTCTAATTTACATTTCCATCAACAGTGCACAAGAATCTATAAAATGATCACTAGAGGAAAAATAAATGGAACTACTAATTCAAGCATGTGGGTCAGTAAATCAGAAATGAAAACAGCTATGAAAAAAGGTTCAGGAACACTAAATTGAAGAGGTAGGGAAAAGCAATTAGGAATCAAGTGGCAATTAGATTTCTGTAGGTAGGTAGATTGGCCCTCCTTCAATTAGGATAATAGGTGACATCTGTTAGATTCTGAAATAACTAGAGAAGCAGAGATGAATCTGACCTACCTGATTGGGGGAAAGGAGGGGCTAATACAAGTGGAGGGCAAAACAAGGACATAAACTGCACGAGGATTTTGAGGCTGTGCACCTCGTAAGCAAATGGAGCGCTTTGTCCGTGTTCCCTATGTTTGGTACCAGGATTGCAGAAATACACTGCCCATAGGCCAGTCTCAACTTGCAGGGCATAATCAGCCCAACTGGAGGCAAAACATGGGTCCTCCCACTTTTCTGGCCAGGACAGGGCTGCTGGTGCCAGCAAATGCCTCTGAATACTGGATGAACCCTTATCGGAGGGCCCACTTTGAGCCCATTCTCACCCAGATGAACTCCAATCTGTGCCAACGGCTGTGCAAGGCCAACACCAAAGAGGTGGGCATACAGGTGAGCCTGCGGGTGGACAAGTCCATGCAGTGCTCACTGGGACCTCAAACTCTGCACAGCTGCTACCCATGGGACAATGCTGGCCACAAGAAACCCATAACAGAATGGGGAGTCTATTCACCAGTGATGGGCCATAGGGGCTTTGCCTGCTTAAAGAAGGATGGGAAAGATAGTAAAAGCAAGGTGTTTTCAGGCCCAGTGAAGGCCAGCCAGCAGCCACCACCAATGCAAAGGTCAGAAGACGAAAGGCAGGAGGACCTCCCTCAGTCTCAGGAGTTGGTGGAGGAGGATGCCAAGCATCTTGGTGAAAGGAAAAGCAAGCGGGGACAAGGAGATCCAGTAGGCTGTTCACTTCCGAAGCCCAACTTCCAGGTAGCTTTTCTTTTCTTTCTTTTTTCTTAGTGCCATGCCAGCTCTATCCTCTTTTCCATTTTATTTGCAGGACAATAACAGTAAAGCTTTCTCCTGCTTTCTCCTTTAATTTGATGAGAAAGAGTGGTTATTTTGAAAACATGTATTGTATGTGGCCTGCAAGCTTTTTGAGTTTTTTGTGTAACAGGGAGGTGCCAAGCCTGACTTGAGTCTGTGAAGAGCAAAGCTATGGCCACTGTGCTTACTGGAAAATGAGCGTTACTCGAGTTTTAGGGTAAAGCTCCAGCTTTGGCTGGGCATAGGGTAGGGTGGGGATGAGGTTCAGCTGCCTATAGCTAGGCGCCTATCAAAGAGACAGTAATGAAGGGCAGGAAAGGAGGTTTAGCCAGTATGGTCACACTGGAAAAGACATAAAGAAGTTTGAGCTCTCTCTTCAAGGGGCTGAGAAAACCTTTAGAGTTTTATAGACCTCTTTGGAGGGCCTGCATAGCTGGGGAGTTCACGCAGCTTGAAGTGGTAGGGAACGCTAACCAGGTGATGGTCTGGTTGATGGATATTTTAGGACTGGTTCTGAGAGAGCTGTTATTACCTGAAAGGGAGTTTTGTTCTCACCGTGAGTTCATGACTCCTGCTGTAGAGGGCAGTCTCAGTTCCCCTTGTGGGATAATCACCTCTGTTAGGTCCATCCTTATCACAGGATGGCCACTTGGAATCTTTTCCTGAAATCTCAGATGACAGAATAGAGACTTTGAGGCATTGTTCCAGAGGGTGTGGAACTGAACAGGGTAAAAGCCTGGCAATTGGATGTTCCTGCAAATCCTGAAAATTGCTGTATTTATTTTTAGCTTAGTGGCCTGTGTCTTAAAGGAGGGTGAGACGGGCTGGGTAAACTTAAGGCTAAATATCCTTGAATAACAGACAGTCCTTACAGGAGTAACATTGTGCAGAGCAAAGCAGGGACTTGACCCTAAGTTTCAAAGCAGTCCATACTTCGTCCTGCTGTTAGATACCCACTGTGTGCCCAGCCCCCAGGTCCCCATTAGGTGAACAGACACAGAGCCTTAAGTGTGTGAATGAAAGGTCAGATTTTCTTTTGAGGAGATTATGCTCACAGTATTGTGGAAAATGGAGTGGGAAAATACAAGTAACAGCAGCAAGAAGAATTCCAGAGTCATTCTTAAACCATAAGAGATGAAAAGCTAAATTAATGTACAATTGTAGCATTGAGAATAGACAAAAGTGAGGGAAAGAAGGTAATTTTATTTCCTAAAGCAATGAAAGGAGAATATAGATTTCTCCCAATTTAGTAAAAGAGTCTCCCTCTCCTTTATTTTTAGTCTTTGGAACCAAAATATGGCTATTTTCACTGTAAAGATTGTAACACCAGGTGGGAGAGTGCGTATGTGTGGTGCATTTCTGGAACTAATAAGGTAGGTGAACATGAGTGGGAAATGGAGGGAGAGTGGGGTGGGCACCGGTTCCAAACGGATGCAGTGTCTCCCCGGGGAGCTTGACTGCCGCCACCCCATGTTGTTCATCTTGGTCCTCAGTGCTGGGAACCTCAGTGCTCAGTGAATGTTCAAACCGAACTGAATTAGACTGGCTACCTCATTCTCGAGCCATATCCTGGCATATGAGGTTGGGTGCTTTTACTGGATCAAATTTCATGTTATGAAGGTGGGTTTTGCTTTTGTTAACATGGGTCTTTCTGGGACCATTTTTTTCATTGGTATACTATACTTTGAACAAGTTGGGGCCTTAGCTAAAGAAAATTGCCACTATTTGCCACAAGGTGGGGCAATAAGAGAAATAATTGATAAAGGTCAATTTACATAGGAGAGGTTTACTTTGGCAGGCTGTGGTGGTGCTTGCCTGTAATCCCACCTACTGGAGAGTTTGAGGCATGAGGATTCCAAATTTGAGACCAACTTGGGTGACTTAGTAAGGTCTTGTCTCAACATAAAAATAAAAAGGGGTAGGGATTTAGCTTAGTCATGAGGCACCCTTGGATTCAATCCCCAGTATTGGATTATTTTTTTTTTTAAACTAACCCCTGCACACACACATACACACACACACACACACACACATTTGAGTTAAACGCTAACATATTAAGATTGGGAAAAACTTCACATTGAATTTGCATTTCTGGACTTTCATGGACAGCCATGGCATCTGGTCACACTGAGCACTCGTTCAGACGAGAACTGTGGGTTGCAACGGGCCAGTTTGCAAGTCTTTTGCTTGCCCTGGCTACTTCATGTTGTAGCAGTTGACACCGGGCCATTTCCTTAACTTCTAAGTGCACCTGAGTTTGTGTTGTGTGTTCAAAGGGTGCCTTTCTGGCTAAAGGACTGTGGAGGGACAGGGGCAGAGAAATATGTTGAGACCTGAATGAAAACTTGACTGAAATAGCCATTTGCTAGACGTAGAAGGTGAATAGGTTTTCAAACCAAGTTAAAATTACTTCCGGTCTGTCTCTGGCCAAAAGAAAAACAATGGGTGGATTCAGACATTCCAAGGCATTAAAACACAAAACATGTGACACAGAACTTGTCCTTAAGAAACATATTCTGGTAGAAGTGGTGCAGACAAAAATGCAGTTTCGTGGTATATGCAGTAACTGCATGGAAGTGGTACAGAAATTAGATGGGATGGGGAGGTTACCCTGTTGGAGGGACAGTGCCATGATTTCCAAATATGACTGAAGTATAAAGAGGAGGAAATCAGCAAGTTAAGCAGGGAAAAAAATATGTGTAGGAAAATGCGCAAGGCCCAGAAACCACACAAGTACACGGTATCCGTGGGTTACCACAAGTAAGTTAAAGCTCAAGTCGGGAAATAACTGGAAAACAGGATATGTTGAGGCTAACAGATGGGGACAGAAGGAGGCGGGCTTCTCCCACACAACGGTCGGAACTGTAATGACCTTTACCATTGCATGTCTATTATAGCTCTTTATGTGTGTCCTGAGTAGTTGTTGGAACGATAGAAAAAGTAGCATTAGCCAAGTTTCATAGGTAAGGAAAATCGGGGTCATAGGGTAAGAAAAGGTGACTGATAGCCCTAGTGCTTAAAACTGCAAGGTTAGAAGTTAGATAAGCGAAGTGCAAAGTGAAGGAATGGATTCCTTAACTTAAGAACTGGGACCAATATATATATATATATATATA